CTACAATGCATTGGTGATCTCCCAGAAAATACCAAGGAAATAAGGAAACAAATCAATAAAGCCAGACGTGTACCTAGAGGCCTCCTGCTACAAGACAAGCCCAAGAAAGAAACCAACAGAACTCCACTGGCCATCACCTACAGTCCTCAGCTTAAACCTGTCCAATGCATCATCAGTGATCTACAACCCATCCTGGACACTGATCCCTCACTTTCACAGACCTTGGGAGGCAGGCCAGTCCTCGCCCACAGACAACCCGCCAACATTAAGCATATTCTCACCAGCAACCACACACCGCACCATAACAACTCTAACTCAGGAACCAATCCATGCAACAAACCTCGATGCCAACTCTGCCCACATATCTACACCAGCAACACCATCACAGGACCAGATCAGCTACATCATCACCGGTTCATTCATCTGCACGTCCACCAATGTTATATATGCCATCATGTGCCAGCAATGCCCCTCTGCTATGTACATTGGCCAAACTGGATAGTCACTACGTAAAAGGATAAATGGACACAAGTCATATATCAGGAATGGCAATATACAAAAACCTGTAGGAGAACACTTTAGCCTCCCTGGACACACAATAGCAGATGTAAAGGTAGCCATCTTACAGCAAAAAAACTTCAGGACCAGACTCCAAAGAGAAACTGCTGAGCTTCAATTCATTTGCAAATTTGACGGCATCAGATCAGGATTAAACAAAGACTGTGAATGGCTAGCCAACTACAAAAGCAGTTTCTCCTCCCTTGGTGTTCACACCTCAACTGCTAACAGAGGACCTCACCCTCCCAGACTGAACTAACCTCATTATCTCCAGACTGATTCTTGCCTGCATATTTATACCTGCCTCTGGATATTTCCATTACATGCGTCTGACGAAGTGGCTATTCACCCACGAAAGCTTATGCTCCCAGTACTTCTGTTAGTCTTAAAGGTGCCACAGGACTCTCTGTTGCTTTTTACAGATCCAGACTAACACAGCTACCCCTCTGATATTTAACCTACTAATTTCTACCTTGTTCTCATATGGTTCTGAATATCTATTCTAGGTCTCCAGTCCAATTTATTACATTTGTGTATAGTTCTTTCATCATTTATAAAGCACTAACTGTTCACTAAGCCTTTTGCTATTGAGATCATGATATTGAAAAGTGAAGGAGCATTAGAATGTGTAAGCTGCAGGTAAATTTCCACCTAAATACCTATTTTGTTGGCATTGTGGAAAAGGGTAGAATTCTAAGGAATATACAACAGCTACCGTCTTTTCTTTTCGATACATGTTTGATTATAAGAATATCCAAAAAGAAAAGTTCATCATTTTTCTCCAATTCTTATATTGTTTAATTATGCTAACATTTGGGAGGCAAGATGGGCTGATGGGTAAAGCAGAAAACCAGGAGTCAGGACTCTTGGATTTTATTCTCAGCTCTGCCGCTGACTCATTGCATGAGTTTGTCACTTTGACATTTCTATGCTACAATTTCCCTGTTTGAAAGAAGGTATAAGAATACCTACTATCACACAGTAGGCCTGATCCTGCACCATTAAAGTTAAATGGAGTTGTACCATTGATGTCAATGGGAGCAGGGTGTGGGTCACGGTGAGACTTACTTAATGAAGTACTGTGAATTTCTTGATAAAAGTGCAAAATATCATTATTAATAAATAGCTTCAGTGCTTTAAAAAATTGCAAGACTGATTCAAGATTCTTGAAAATAAAGACTGATAGAGATTTTCCTTAAGGATCTCCCCCATGGTTTTGGCTAGATGGATTTCTAATGAGTAAGTCTTTTATTTCTGGGACATTCTGTGTCTTTCTGCCACAATTATTCATGTTCAAGTCCTAGAGCCAAATTTTGCTCTGAGATGCATATTTGTTGTTCCCGTTGGCTTTGCTGGAAGCTGCAGGCACTTATTCTAAACTATCACTTGGCTCCCATTATTGCTGTGGTCATATTTGCTTGTCTAAAATGACTGTGTTTCTCCATTTAAAATCTTGTAATATTTAATCTTTACTGAGATACTACTGTATTTTTTCTTTCATTACTAACATCCTATTGTAATATTGATTTTTTTGTTTTGTTTTGTTAAATGGGACTACATTGGTAATTTTGGCTGGCAGCTTGTTTTTGTTTTCTTTTGTATACTTTTGAGTGGCATAGAACATTCGATACAGTGTATTGTAGTTGACTTCCTTGATATGACCTATACGTTTTGTCTGTCTAAAGTAATTTAATGTTATCTAATTTTTCTGTGCAGCTCCCAGTCACCATGGTATTTAGATTCTAAATTAAAACCCTCTTCTGAGCCTTGTAATGATGCTGACTTCCTGTTTGAGTGAGTGACCTATTCATTGTCATTCTTTCTTTTATAAACTGTTTTTCTTTATATATTGATTTTGTTCTAAACATTAGTGACCACGCACTGGTTCAGATCAGGAAAGAGAGTAATTTTTATACCCACAAATGTACACACAGTCACATGCACCTGTAGTGGACAATTGCTTCAGCGATTGAATTCTAGTCAAGAGACATTGCTACAGGCCAGATCCTGGAGTCTGGTTGACTTGCACGTGGACTCAATCATGGAGATGTGTATGTGTTTCAAAAGTGTGCCTTTGAATTCTCTGAGTCCAGGGAATACTGAGGTGTGGGGCTGGCCCCCTGTGACAGGTTAAAATGGCCTTTGGCCTGCTTCAGTTTACACTGGCCACCAAAGGCCCAAAACCACAGCTAGGAATCCAATATACGTGCGACCTGTCATACCCCTTCACAAGCAGCAGGTGGGGGTGACGTAGGAGCCTTTACATTAGCTTTATGCCACCTGAGTATTCCTCTTATACTGCAGAGATCCTCCAGGGGTCATATTCATCAGCTGTCTGGCCAGAAAATTGCCAGTGATGCAGTTCAAAATGACCACTCTATACTGACTCTCTGTAGGTCTTCCTCCAGTCCCATTATTGGGAAACATTTTCAAAAGTTCCCAAGTGATAGGAACCTCAATCCCATTAACTTGAACTCTTTAATCCATGATTTGTAACTCATGATTCAGTAACTCAAGCAGAAGTTAGGGGTCTATTACAGGAGTGGGTGGGCAAGGTTCTGTGGCCTGCAATGTGCAGAAGGTTAGACTAGATGATCACGATGGACCCTTCTTATCTTAAAGTATATGAGTCTATGAGTTTATGAGTCTCTGGTGCTGCATCACCTTGCCCATTGCTTGAGGAATGAGCACCAGCTGATGTGCAGTCCTAAAGGGAAAATCAGGTCACTGATTTAGTCACCTGAATAAGAATTTCAGAGTCTAACTTTAGGCACATGTTTTTGAATCTTGGCTGTAAACTTTAAGATTCTTATCTGCACTGAAGTGAGCTTCTCCAGCGAGGCTATGAACCTCTTTTTCAGTGCCCCCCAAGTCATTAATGTTCTGAAAAAATGCCATTTCACAGGGAAAAACTCCACCTGGGGAAAAAATTGCCTTCCATTTTTGTAGAAAAATGTTGAGGCAAAACAACAAAATACTTGTTTGCTCGGCACACAACTGATAAAATTAAAATTCTATTGGCTGCTTTTGTTGCATCTATGTTACCACTTAGCACAGAGCTACTTGTAATGACAGACAAAAAATAGTGTCCATGCTCCTGCCTGAAAAGGAACATCACTGACTTAGCAGGCGAACCACTTTCTCTGCTGTAGCGCCAAGAGAACAGGACAAGACTCTCTTAAAACTGGGCAGTGTCAACTCCCTTAACACCCACCAAGAGCACTACTTCCTTCCCATCCCCCTTCCCTACCCTCCCCATTGTAGAGATGAGGTCATTGCCTCCACAACAACCATACCAAGCTATGACAGATAGTGCTGTGTGCAGGATGGCTTGCATATACCATCAAACCATGGTACCATACTCTTCTCTTTGTGAACAGAACTGTAGGAGAAAGCGATTCACAAACTATGAATTTGTTGTCAATTTTATGATACTTAAGGCAGGCAGTAATTTCAGTTTTCACTGCCATTAGATAATAATAGTAATTAATTAGTAAGTCACACTGTTGGGATCTAGAGGTGAACTAACATGGAAAATGTAAATTAAAAAAAAAGCCACTAATACCTCAGTTTTCTGCTACAATTGAGGGTTTATGTCTGTTTGTCTCTCCAGAATGAATTGCTGCTCTTAACAGCAACTTTATATTGCCCTCAGCACTGTCTGTGAAATATTTGCTGCAAAGAGAGGTGCTGCACCAAAAATAGCGGTAGAGGGGCCAGGAAATTAAGGGAAAAGCTACCAAGGATTGTGCTTGTTCTAACATTAATTACCTCTGTGCTCCCTCAGATCACCCCTCACATAAATTTTCCATAGTGCTATATTTGCCATCAATGATAGAAATATTTGAATTCTCTCTCACAGGGAAGTGTTGACTAAATCAAATCTACATTCATGTTATTCCTTCCCTTTCAGATGCTGACACCAATGATAGGACAGGCTTTTTCTCCAGCATTTTACATCATCACCTTTGAGGCAATATTGGACACAGTCAAAGGAAGCAGTAGGACATGTACAGAGCTTTCAATTCAAGGTCATTCTGAACCCTCTAACCCGTAAAAAATAAAAATAGGTAAATAAAATTGGGAATTATCCTGAGTGATTTTAACTATGAATTGTTCGCAGCTGTCAGAGTCAGAGCCACATAGTTCACTGTGGTTCAATTTCCTTTTCAATTGAACAAACATATTATAGCAGATTTCCTATTTTGTTTTAAATAACCTCGTAGGGGATCTGCATGCCCAATATATATATAAAAAGTTTATATTAGCTTAGGCTATTTATAGAACTTCAAAGAGGGTTGAAAGATAGTAAAAAAATTAATTGATCCCATCAAGCAACAGACACTAAAACTCAATGTTTGAAATGCCTTCCTCCACCGAATCAATTCATAGCAAGAGTGATTCTGATTTACAGGATGGCTAAACTCATTTCCACATCTTCCGATGCCACGTAGCAGAATTCAGAGCTCCGTGGTTTGGACGGGTACATCAGTAATTCACCCTGAGTGAAAGAAAGATTAAAGATAATATTCCTGGCTGGGGCATTCAAAGACACCTAAAGGAGTTAGGCATCCAACTCCCAATGAAACCAAGTGAGTTAGTCACCCAACTCTTGTAGACACCTTTGAAAACCTCAGCCATTGGGTACCAAGCCCTGTGATCTGAAAGCAAACTGCAAACAGCATTTCTCTCAACCTCTCCCAGTCAAAATGTGGGATTCAATGATTCAGTCATGTAAATGGCTCTTCCTACAACCTCCATTTTATGACTTTTTATTTCTTATTTTAATAATTTCCAACAATAAGAGTGAGGGGGCATCAAATTTACATGGAAAATAGGAAACTTTGGGACTGAAATGAGGAACATTTGCAAACAGCAAGCATGGCACTGTGTACAGCCAACACAGGATCCACCTTGGATCAGTGAAGGTCCCTCAGCCCCAAGGGAGATGTCATGACAAGATCCAAGGGGAGAGGAGGGCAGGCAGTGGATGGAGAGATTTCATTTTGACTTGGTCAATGTGCATAGCCCATATACCTGACTCTTCAGGGGCAACATTATTTTTGTGATGTTTGGGTGAATCTAGGTCCAATATAGCTTTAGATCATGCTTTTTAGAAGAAGGTGGCATAAGAACATGGGAGTCTTCCAGAACCAGACTTACCCATGAGTAGGACAGGAATTTGATGGGGAAAAAAGAGCAATAGCTAAGGCCAAGTAGGGGAATTCAATATCTGGTCAAGTCTATTACTGATAGACTTCAATGCATAGCTTTGCTTAGCAACATATAGTTTCCTTAGGAAGAATTCATTATTTATATTTTTATGGCAGAGCATCTATATTCCAAATCTAGGGTTACATTTTTGTATGTCTAAGAAGTACCGGTAACAACAAAGCTAGATTTGCACAGGCTTCAAAACAGCCACCTCAGATGGACGCAGTATTTGGTGTGGCTTAATTTTGGCTTGAACTCTGTGGGGCAGAAGGGTGGAATAAAGATTAGCCAGATCAGAGCTTTGAGTCACAGATCATGCATTAAATAGCTCTAATTCTAAAATAGTGGAAGGGTCTCATAAGCTATCTGTTTCAAGTGCAAACTCTTTCCCATCTCTGACCATTGCAACTGGACCTCCCAAGTTCTTAAAAAAAGAGTCTGCAAATGAAAATCCTTAGGACACCCCATAAATACAATCATCTAGCATTAGTATATCAATGACAACATGCATTCTTAAGGAGGCACCACCAGGAACACACACACTTTCATTCAACGAAGTTGCATATTTTATTTTTGTAGGTACCATCAAATGGTTTTAATGCTGGAAAAGAGACTTTTTTCCCATTCAGATATATTCATGGGATCACACAGATTTAGAAAGACTGGATTTAAATGAAATTAGTATCAGCTGGGTTTCAGAAAAATCAGTTATTGTGTCATAAGAAACTGATGGTTTGATTTTCAAGGTGAATATTATCTAAAAGTGAAATACTGGCTAATTCAATATTTTCTGCTATACTGATCATTTTGTTCTGTTTTCTTTAGAGAGAACTGCCTTCCAGGCCTGGCTTTTTCCACTGCTCTGGATTCTGTCCTTAATGAAATCTTAAAATAATGAGGCATAATTTTTATTATAAACATTATTAAAAAGCAGTTTCTAAAACTTCAGTGCTATGCAGCTGGTTTATAGTAGGTTACATGGTATAAATAATTTTCAATAATAACATAAATATAATATTAAGTTTATGTGGATCTATGTATTCTGAACTAAAATAGAGGATTACTGAGAACTTTGCCCACATGACCTTGGAACTATGACCTTTCCTTTTCTGTGATTTCCCCCCCCCCCTTCTGGTTTATTTTTAGTCTGAAGTGAGCTATGGTCCAGGAAGCCAGCATAGCTTGGGATATTGTGTCCAACATAGGTAAAAAAACAACAACCCCATGGCAGTATGAGATGTGGGACATTAAAAATAAATACATAAATAAAATAAACATGTGAACTGTTACACTAAAGAGAGATTGTCCTGGTATCTTTGGGATGTAGTGCCTCTGCTTTCCTGTGTTCTTGTGAGGTAGCTGGTGTGCGGGACTAAACCGGTACCTGTTTTGATACCATAAAAAAACTCAGACACAAAAATCCACCAAGAACTTACCTGCCTTATGTATCATCTCCTCAGACAATAATTTTCCAGTCAGTCCCTCCCCTCCTCACAATTATTCGTTCAACTGCTGAGAGAGTTGAGGATGATTTGTGACATTTCGGAATTACAATAATGGTCCAAAAAGTTGTTCATTTTCTCTCAGACAATCCAAAACTAAAGCAGTTAAATTAATCCATTAGCTGCTCAAATACCTGTTCTCCAGCTTTCTGTTCTATTTTTCATTTACAACCAGATCACACAATGTGTATTCACATTAGTGAACACTTACTCATGCAAGTAGTTCCAGTGAAGACAAATAATTCCTGTGCCAATTGCACTACCACTTTGTACAAGGATTGGACTATCAGGGTCTTCTCTAACAGAGACAAACTTAACAAGGAGTCTCTTCCACATGTTAAATTAAAGATGACTGCCCTGTTGTTTCTAGCAGTTGGAGTAATTTGAGCTCTGACTGATTTGGGGACTGAAATGCATGGGCCAAATTCTGCTTTCACTTCTGTTGGTGTAATTCCATTGAACACTCTAGATTTACACCACTGTAACAGAGGGTTGTGGCCCATTGGGTATAATTTTGGGGCTCACTCTTTGGGTGTAAGGGCCACTGGAATTTCAAAGTCAAGTTGAAGAGTGAGCCAGAGGATTAAAGTTCAATGAAGTGGCCAGCTTTGAAATCTCCAGCAGAAAACCCTGATTTGGTCCTGGCTCCAATACAGGAATACACTTAAGCATGTGCTTAACTTTAAGTAAGTGAATAGTCCAGCTGAAGGCACTGGGACCACTCATGTACTTAAGTGTGTTACTGGATCAGGGCCAGAGTACTCAGCGCCTTATAGGATCAAGCCCCTAGAAGAGCTAGATTGTAGCTTCTCAGCCAGCACCTGCTGCAGGGGGAGTGGAGTGGAGCCTCACTGCTCCCAGAGGAGTACTGGAGAGATGGTGCCTCTGGCAGACACAGGCTCTCCAAGACTGCTCCATGATAAATGGCTGGGGGTGAGCTCTCTGCTTCATCTCCTAGGCTGCAGATGGGGTCCATGCCAAGAGGCCATCTCCTCCCCCCACGCCCTGTCCCTGTTTGGTTGTGGGGGAGCAGTGGCGCAGGAGTGAGCAGTCTCTATTGTCGCTGTCCAGAGCACAGGCTGCTATTCCAGCCATGCGAGGAGGTACAGGCTGCTCATGTGCCCCTCCACACCAGCGTGGCTGAGCAAAGGCCTCTGACAATCTGGACCATAATGTATTGAAAAGGTAATGCCAATGACTCATTTTATAACCAAGTTATCATTTATCCTACTAGCAAAATCTGTTCAACCCTGGTTATACAGGTTATATAGTAATAAAAGTTCAAGTTTCCATAAAAGTGCCGTTGAACTGTAAATTAATGTGAGGTAAAGCAGTTGCCCAAGGGAATAACCAAGCTTCCGAAAGTTGTGTCCTAAATTAATTAATGCTGAGTTCCTCACTGACTGAGAAAAGAATGAATCTATCACAGGCTTTCATTGTTGATCGCTGAAGGTTTGCTTCAAAGAGCCATTGCCGCTTACATTGCCATTATGTCTCCATTTTGCTTTGAACAAGGCTTTGTTAACTAAAAATGGTAAATTCATGACTGGGATGTTGTTGTTTTTTAGTTACTGCCACGCCCCTCTATATTTGCAAAGCAAAATCATTTCTCTGACAGGTCATGTGACTCACAATCCACAGTGGTGTGTAGCTCTGTTGCTCATAAAACCCCTTATATTTGCAATTCTTGTTCTCCAGCCTCCATCCCCTCCTCTGCAAGTAATAGACTGGTTTCCCTTCTTTTATTTCACCTTTAAAAGCTTTGTTTGCTCTTTACCATACAGTTATAAAGCCCTGTGTGATCCTGTGTGTTAAGAACATTACATACAAATTAAACAATTGTTCTCTGATTCATAGGAGTCTACTACTTTTAAAATGCAGTGGGAATATAAACATATAGACATTTATCCTTTCGGGGTGTCCACAGGTGCACATTACAGCATAACCTTCAAAAATTATCTTCTGTATCTGTGCACACATGTATAGTGCATTATTTTACCAGGTATGGGGGCTGATCCATCACCCATTGAAGTCACTTGGAGTCTTTTTATTAACTCCATTGGTCATTGTATCAGGCACGCATAGTAGTGGGTGTATGCCAAGGTATCAGAGTACAGGGCTGAATCTGCAGATAATACATTATATTTTTAATACTATAGGGTCCTGGTCTAGGACTGGGGCTCTTAGGTGCTATGATAATAAAAATATATAATAATAATTAATTCTTGTTTCTAAGCATGCAGAAAATATGCTGTGACTGAAATGACAGTCCTCCCTCCCCCTGAGTATGAGGACTCATGGACAGACTCGTGTGATAAAATAATATACCGAAGGAATAAATTTTGCTTTTTTATATTTAGTCAAAACTTGTCTTATTAAATACCTATCCTAAAAGTTTTAATGCTAATTTTCTTAGCATTGATTTTAGTAGAGAGCTGGGCCCAACCAAATACTCAGATCGAAACACCTCTGGTTTCTGGAGAAGTTTGGATCTAGTTCCATATCCAACTAC